TATTTGGGATTAAAGGATGTAAATGCATATATTGTTCCACCATCTCTATAATTGTATCTCGTAATTCTTTGGGACAAAAGCAAAAACTTTTTTTTTGCGTTAGAGTTATTTGTGATAGTGGTGTTAGATGGAAGTTAATATCAATAAATTCAAATACCTCATAAGCGAAATATGAGCTATAATGAATTATTTTTAGATATGTGTTATCCGTAAGATATTTTTTAAGTGCCTTCTTAATGTGCCAAAAGCAAATTTGAATTTTGACATTTGGCCAGACTTTTTGTGCAGCAGAAATTTCTGAAAAATCTTTATCTGTTAGAATAAAATAAATATTATTTAATCCTAACTTAAATAAAGATTCAAAAAATAAGGTTAAAATGCTTGTGTATGCACCGTTATTTTTTGATCTCTTCAACAAACAAATATGCAAGTGCAAAACCAGCTTCATCATATTGACCAATAATCGCATACAACTCATATCCTAAAATATTCATTTTATACGTAGCGTCTATAACAATTTCATTATTATTTTTTAATAATTCAAAGAACGGTATTATAAAGCCCAAGTATTTAATTTCTTGATCATTGATTAAAATCATCTTAAGTTCATTTTCTTCTACAAGAATTTTTGTTGAATTTAATTGATTATTATAATTATGCTCATATTCCTTTTTTAGAAAATAAATCTACCATGCATGGACCTGTTTTTGTGTTAGGTTTGGATTTTGTTGTTCCAATTGTCTAAAAATATCTGCAGGTGTATGATGAATATTTTGTTGGATTTCAGCTTTAACATTATCAGTTATATTAAATCGATCTGAACATCTATGAAATAAATTATACTGGAGATCAACCATTGCTACATTCATTTCCATATCTAGTAAAATTTTTAAAACACCATTACAAGTAAACCGATCGATATATTCTCTATCACATTGTTTGTTAGAATCTTCATGTTTTCGTGAATGCTTAGCTAAAGTACAACTTTGTGAACAGTTGTACCAATAAGTATATTTATT